CATCTGAGATGTCCACTCCTTCTTTACTGGGGCCTTAAAGGGCTGTTTGCTGACAGACACATCAGGAGGTTGCGGTTGGTAGGGTAGCCTCAGGTATTACAGCAAGTTGGGTGCTCAAGACCACTGTGTTTGCTTTTGCACTTTGTATAACATGGGCTTTGAAGCGATCAAAAACACGCAAAGCTGGGTTTTAAAGTAATCCTCCAGGTCTTTGTGACCAGACATTGTTAAACCAGATTTTCATACCTTCTTCATTCATCCATCCTTTTTCATGCATGTGGACAATAACTCCACTTGGACTCTTTCCTTTCTGAAATGTTTTTCTTTTAAAGATGCTGGTAGCTTTGTCCCATCTGCACAACAGGCTAGAACAATAGTGAAGTGTGTTTTCTCACATCCACTAGTTTTAACAGCTGTGGTCTTTGCTCCTCTGATGTCCACAGTTCTGCTGGATGGCACATCAAATGTGAGTGGGACCTCATCCATGCTAACCATTTGCAAAAGTTCAATGTGGTAAGTCTTTTGAAGACTGGTAACATAACAATGAGATTCTAAAACTTGATTCTCATAGGCTGCTGGAAATTTGGGGCAAGCTTTGTTTGTGTCCTCATACTTCACACTTCATAAAGTTAAAGCACCATTTGGGTATCCCTGAGAAACCATCATATTTCTTGCTCATTCAATTCTTTTACCCTCTTCTTGTGTCATCTTGGACAAAACAGAGATCCCGGTTTGATGCTGTTCCAGAATCCTGGTCTTCACCTCCAGCCACTTTGGAGGTTTTCCTCTCATTCCCTTTTTCTATCTTGGCTTCTGGAGACACTCCACAGGAGGCTCTTCTGCCTCCACAATCTGATGATGCTCTCTGTGGGGGGAGATCCAAAGTATTTTTCCATAGCTCTGTTGCCAGCTCTTTAGCATGTGTAGTAACTATTAGCTAAAAGCTGTTAAACTATTTTACATTTTCCAAGGGACTTTGAAATAATCTTTGTAAATATATCAGATAGACTACCAGCTCCTGCCTAAAGTATACGAAGAGAAATACACTCTCTTTATTGGCCAAATGTGTTTTCACTTCAAATTTGTCATAAGTTGAACAAAACCAGTTACTGTGTTACAGGATAATATTTTGTATGCAGATACTGTTTTTTCTTTCTTTCTTTTTTTTTTTTTTAGAGACAGAGTCTCACTTCATTGTCCTTGGTAGAGTGCTGTGGTGTCACAGCTCACAGCAACCTCCAACTCCTGGGCTTAGGCGATTCTCTTGCCTCAGCCTCCCGAGTAGCTGGGACTACAGGTGCCCGCCAGAATGCCTGGCTATTTTTGTGTTGCAGTTTGACCAGGGCTGGGTTTGAACCCGCCATACTTGGTGTATGGGGCCAGTGCCCTACCCTGCAGGCACCACCCTGTATGCAGGTATTGTTTTTGTTTCACAGAGTTATATTTTTAATGCACAAACAAATACAAGAATTAAAAAAATTTATACAGATACAGACTTAGTACTATCCATATATAATGCACATCTTTATTTTTCCCTCATAAGTTTGGGCAAAAATGTGCACATTATACATGCATTATTATTATACATTAATTCTCTTGTTAGGTGGTTTTGGGCAGTGGTCACAGAACAATGGAGGTTCAGTTTTATTCTTGGACATTAATTTCTTTTTCATCTCAAGGAGGGAGAAAATTCAGATGAATATTGAAGGAGCTCCTAAGAGGGAGATAAAAAACAACTTTGTTTCTTAGAACCTAACATGGGAATTCAAAAAACAACTTTGTTTCTTAGAACCTAACATGGGAATTAAAATTAAATCAGAGGAACAAGTTTGTCAGCTAAGCTTAACTTTACTTTCTCTATTGGTTACCTTCATTGTTTTAACTTTGCCACATGTAAACATAATTTTGGATTGTTTTAGTTATCTTATTTCTGAAATTTGTTTTGTTTTGAAATATTTCAAGACTTAAGATTCATTATGAAAATATATTGTATTTAGAAAATTTTGTGTAGGCAGATATGCAGTTGTCTAATTTGTACAATTTAGTTACTGTTATTTCTTGAGTGTAGTCTGGCTTTCTAATTTTGGGGGAAAGCAGAGGTAATGACATTTGAGGTACTTTTTTTTGGGTGGGTGGGACAGCGTTTCAGTCATCTTGAGTTGAGTGCTGTGGTGTCATAGTTCACAGCAACCTCAAACTCTTGGGCTCAAGCGATCCTCTTGTCTCAGCCTTCCGAGTACCTGGGACTACAGATACTGTGTTTCCTTGAAAATAAGACACTG